ATAATGGTGCAATCTTTTTCAATGCAAAATCGACGACTGTGTTTTTTGATAAAATCCTTGCGCTATGTGCATTTTGCTTATTCTTTTCCAATGCTCTTAATGAATAAATGAAATAGAAAACCAAAATGAGTCTAAATATTAAATTTACACTGTTGTTTATCATTATAATAGCACTACGTTAGGGCTAATAAACTCGAGGATTTAATAACATAGCAGGAATTATCTTCTTACCTCCCCCCCCCAAAAAAAAAAAAAACCGCAAATTTACTGCGGCTAATTTTGAACCCCAAAAATTAAAATGAAGGAACAAATATAAACTTAAATATAGCATTAACTGAAAAGCACTCAGTTATAAGTAAAAGCAGGAAGTGAGTAACCTGTCTATCCTAACTTTCCCTATGCAGGACTAGTCCTAACGAATTCAGGTGCAGCGTCTGAACTGGATATGGTAAAGTAGGTTTGATTTAATTGTAGAGACATTAGACTTTTTGAAGCAGAAGACATGAAAAATAAGCAACGTCCTCACCGAGACTCGAACCCGGACCTTTCGAATATGCGCCGAGGGTGCTAACCGTTACACCACAAAGGCATGCTAGGAGGAGGGAGAAAATACGTTAAATCCTCTTTCTTTTAAGGGGACTCATACACCTTAAAACCCATAAAATCTTCGAATAGGTGACTGTTGCAAGAATTGGGATAACTTATTTATTTTAAAAGCAATTACTTCCAACTTTTTACAGCTGACTACATGATATAGCTGCTTTCTGAAATAGTCATCAGAAAGTTTGTGTTGCCACAAATAGTTTTATAATTTAATCCGCTTTTTGACAATATTTTTCGTCATGTTTCCACCTTGCGCGCACAGTTTAAAATATTCTGTTGCATAATTTAATTCCATATTTAATATATAGCTTTTATAACATTTGGAAACTACTGTGAACCTAAAATTCTAAAAATTTCTTGTTAAATTTTTATTTTATTTGAAGTTGAGGTTATAAAATGTATTTTATTAAAAAAAATTGTAATGTTTTCGTCCATAAAATTTTTCAGTACTAAAATATTTATCATACTTTTGGTTCAGTTAGAAAATAGTGCCCATATAAAGAATTCCATCGAATTTCAAGTATGTACCATTAGCCATTTTTAAAATATCATGCGCGCAAGGTGGAAACATGGCGAAATATTTTATCACAAAGAGGATTAAATTACAGAAATATTTGTGGCAACAAAAACTTTCTGGTTACTAGTTTCCAAAGCAGCTGTATTATGTAGTCAGTTGTAAAAGGTTGGAAATAAGTGCTTTTAAAATAAATAAAATATCCCAATTCTTGCAACAGTCACATATTTGAAGATCATGAGGGGTTTAAGGTGTATGAGCCCCCTTAAAAGGAGACTGAGGATTAGGGGATCCAGTCGCCAAATTCTGGTGGTGAAGAATCATCGTCCACCACCTTTTAGTTCGACGCCACTGTAGAGATATTTGAAGCAAGGGGCATGAAACATGACAACGCCCTCGCTGGGATTCGAACCCGGACCTCCCGAATACGCGTCGAGTGTGCTAACCGTTACACCACGAAGGCATGCTGAGATGAGGGAGGAAATGGCCAAACACACGAGGGTTATCTGCCTAAGGGAAGGAATGCCTCCGTTAGAGGCTTTCTAAGGGAAAACGTATCGGTTACACATTACACATCGAGAAAACTAAGAAAATGTCTATGTATCCCGAAATCTGATTGCTGGTCAAATTGCCAGTGTACCTTAGTCTTACCCGCCGCCCAGACGAGAAAGTTAGCGACTCTGACTGCCGTACTGGAGGACCCGGGTTTAATTCCGGAGAAGGCATAGATGAAAATAATCTGTCCTTCCAATAGGAGGCATCGGTTGCCGCCTATTTAGATGCCTCCATAATAAAATGACCACGGCTTCTGCACTTAGTAGTGGCCAAAGCTTAAAACGGCTAGCGCGCGACCAAAAAAAAAAAAAAAAAAAAAAAAAATGTTGTTTTGCCTACTATGCTTTTGATGAACCTGTAATAAATTAAAAATACTGAATAAGACAAATTTCTGGACATAAAACTCGATCCTTTTTCAAGTTTTTCAGTGCTTCATTTGATTGCTTTTGAATTCATATAAGTAAAATATGTAGGTAACTGGTTTTAACAAAGGATAGAAAAAGTATCTGTTTTTATGTAAAAACAATTCTCGTGCAAAGATGTATGTTATGACTACATAGAAAATATTTTGTGATCAATTATCATCATATAAAATATACTTACTGTTAACGTTAAATATCTGTCATTTACAGCCAAGTATTTCAGCTTATTAGAAATTTCAGGAGAAAGAGTTTCTTTTCGTGCATTAACATGTCAAATCAAGAAAAATACCGGAGAAAATAAAAGCCGTAGTCGACATAACATATTTTATCTTTGATAGTAGTTTAAGCTTCTACAGTATCTTACAATAAAATCTAAAATATACTGTTTCCGAACAGGCGTTAATAATGATTTGAAAGTATCATACTAATCTAACTGATTTTCATAAAACAGTACCAGACTTCCAGGCTTAAAAGTGATGTAAATCAAGAAGGGAAAGAAAGTATAAGAAAGCCCAAATGAAAAAAAAAAAAAAAAATAGCATTCCTGTCAAAAGAAATCGTGCACGTAACTATAAACATATATTAAATCATCAACTTATATGTTTATAAGATATTTTGTCCCTCCTTTATGCGTGGCTTTGTCGTGTAATTGGAAGCACGTCTGACACGTATCGGGAGGTCCAGTCTCAGCTAGGACATTGCGAATTTCTTCGATTTCTTTGTTTCGAAAAATTCTAAAAGATTCTACAAGTGGCGCCAGCTCAAACCTGGTGGACGACACTTCGTAACCAGCAGGATTTGGTGAATGAATCTTCTCATCCCAGTCTCCCTTTAAAAGGGGAGTATATTCAGTATTTTCTCCCTCCTTTCCGCTCGTTTTCGAGGTAATTAGAAGCACGACCGAACCGTAAATGGAGGTCCGGAGCTTGAATCCCGACAAGGGCATTGCGGATGATTTCTTCAATTTCCTGTATAGATATAACATAATAACTCTACGTGTTAAATTCAATGAATGAGGCAAAGCACATAAAGGCTATTTCCCTAAGATATGAGACTCCTTTTCGGAGCATTGCGTGAGAGAAATTCTCTCGTATTTAAGTTGCATATGAAGAAAGCCACGAAATCATCCGTGCAGCACGCCCATTCACCAGGATTCGGACCTCAAATCTAACTTTTAGTATTCTGCAGTTTTTTACTCTGTTACTTGTGTACCATTTATCAGCTCATATATTATATATTTATTTCGGGGTTTCTCCCGTTATTAGCAATATTAACTGGGAAATGCTTGGAGCTTTGAATAAGTGCAAGGATGTAGGGAAAAAATTGTTTCATTTTTAATTCCATACAGAAAGCATCAGTAATGCAGAAAAAGAGATTTTGGTGTTAATTTTTAGCTTCAACAGTCAATGTAAGCATAATTTGAATTCTGCCACCCAAACGAGAAAGTGGTTAATGACTCTGAGTGCCTCACCGAAAGGCCTGGGTTTGAATCCCGGAGAAGGCATGGATGTAATTTGATCGCCCCTTCCTAGCGGACAACGGTGGATTACCTATTAGATGCCTCCATAATAAATAGATTACCGCTTCCGGCTTTAGTTGTGCCCAACGCATATAAACGGCTAGAGCCCGCCTTTGGAAAAAAAGAAATTAATTTCAATTACAATATATAATACCAGTGGTATCCTATATTAAACTCTAAGTTGGTTAGAGCAAAGTAGCCTCTATATTTTATAAAATATATTAACGGATATAGACAATTTTATGTGCTGCCGGATGACTTCTACTGACTGTCATTAATTCTTGACATATGTTCCAAAATCATCTAATAACAGCAATTCAATTTGTATTTCAAAGTCTGCTTAGCAGCATTCTTTCAAGCATTAGCCAAACTATGCAGCCAGTTTAAATATTTCGACAGATATAATAATATAACGACAAATAATGTTCGGCAATGAAAACGTGTAACATATAAGTAACCCCGCAGTTCAGTTCTCATTTTTTATTGAGGATGCAAAGTTGAATATAAAGTATGGAACCTTTAATTTTCTAGTATCTCAAAATCTACTTGAACATCAAGTATTTTTTACTTTACTTTATGCTAATTCAAAAAGTCTAATATACCATAAATTTTTCTCTTTTTATCTGAATCAATTGAAAATTTCTTGCTTAAACATTTTAAATACAGAATTTTTTTTATTTGGAACTGAAGTAAGAAAAGAATATCATCATAATCAGCACATATATATTTCCATAAATGATGCATAATAATTTCAGGAAACAGAACTAAACCATACATTAACTCGCAGAATTAGTTCCTTTAAAACATCTTATTGATTTATTATGATTATGATTTGTTAAGAGACGTTTAAAAGTTTCGGGTTTAACCAAGGTTTCTGAATAACTCAGCTAAAATAACTATTAGCGAAGTTACCGACGAATAGTTCTTAACTTCTTAATCCCTTTTTATACAATATGCGTAGTTCTTTCATTACTTGTTTTATTAAAAGCCCAATGAAAAGAAAATTTTCTTTTACGTTATTCACTACATTTATTTTTTTCCTCAAACTGTGTTTAGATCTGAATTTACTACTTCAGATGGCAAGTCATTTCAAATATCAATAATTTAATCTAGCGTCAAATTAAAACATTATTTTACAAGGGGTCTGGATAAAAATAAGCACATCATAAACAGCAAGGCTGCATAAAAACTAGGTAATCTAGATTACGGAAAGCTTACAGCATTTTATTCCTTTGTAGTAATAATATTTAATGAAATCACCTGATTGATTATCTGAAACTCTTGAAATAACTACGGTCTCCTTCGAACTTAATTAAAATGTTTGTTATAATAAACTTTTAATTAATTTTTAGTCAATGATTTGAATTAAAAATTTCAAGGTACTTACATTGTCTAGAAGAGATGTATACGTCTGCAAAGATTTAGGGCTTCTTTCAGGTGAATGAGAAAAACGGTCCAAAGATGCTGAGGAACTGCGTCTTGAGAGTGACACAGGTGTATTTCTCCAGGACGGCTTAGTTTCAGTGTCAGCTGCAGAACTCCACTTAGAATCCTTTGAATCCAAAATTCCACTTGTATAGCTACTCGAGGAGACTCTTGGAATATAAGTATTTAGGTAAGAGGAAGATAGATTCCGACTGATAGTAGAAGGACTTGAAGATGAGTAAGTTGTGTATGTTCTTGGCGATCGGTATTTTGACGATAAGGTTGAACTATACAGAGGAGGCTTGTATCTGTAGCTTGAACTGCTTGATAGAGTGCTATATGATGAACTTCCCGAGTACTTCGTAGACGATGGTATATACGAAGAATATCGTGAAGAAGGCAGCGGCATCAAAACACCATTGTACGAAGACATTTAATCGTCTTACTCTATATTGTGAGCTCTAGAAAGTTGTCGTTAAATTCTAGAAAGTTACAGATATAAAATTCATTCACTGTTATAAAGTTATTGATCATACAATCTATCATCCGACAGATGTAAATGCCTTGCTTTTGACGCTAATTTCTCTCATAATTAAGCAAAATTCCTGTAACTCTGCCAGCCATTTGGAATCTTAGTAAGCTGTGTGAGCAGTTTTGAACAGTATGCTCACAAAAATTTAACTGCAATCACAGCATAAACTTCAATACAAGATTAAACTGTTTCGACACGATTTATGTTCAAATATAACATGACCTTTTTTTCCAGGAATGCTTGTAATTAGCTTGATATAAATATATAAATCTGTATTGTAATAAATATATATATATATATATATATGCAGTTATAGAAATTTATGAAATTTGTATTTACGTATTTGGTTGAATATTAAGAGCTATAAATCAAAAAGAAATATATAGAATTATATTATCACAATTTCTTCGTTTTTATATTCATTCAGTATTTACGGGATAATTATTGCATCATAATCAAAATAATCATTTACTTAAAATATGGCTGTTAATGAAAACGGTAGATGTGATCTAATTTTTGCAGCGGAACTTCATACTAAATTTAATCAAACTAGTCAAGTTTCCAGCTTTAAATTCGATCTTAATAAAATTCATGTGTAACATAACATAAAGTTTTCAAATCAATTTTCGATAAGACCACGGAAGCAAAACTTACTTTCTTCGAGTAGAGACTTTCGTTTTCATTCAAAGTCAGTTGCTTTCAGATATTGAAGTTACGTGTGATTAATTACATGCCTGCTTTCTCTCGGCAGATGATACTGCTACCATAAACGAAGATTTCAGTGAAATTGGAATAAACTAGGAAATACTGGGAACTCTCACGCGTTCCTTTTAGTCTGTGATGCAGTTCCTTAACTTCTAATTTAACAGCCAAAGTCTCGACGGATGAAGTCTAAAAATAAAGAGGTTACGTCACTGCAAGTCAAACTCGCTCACTCTTGCATGTATCGAGTTCCCTAAGGTAGATAAAACAATCAAAAGCTAAATAATTTAGTTTCAGAATTTTTTATTTTATTTCACTAAAATTTCATAACTGCTGTTTCAGAACTTTTATTGTGGGAGACAGAAATCGAACATTACTATGTCACACAAAAAGGTGCTGAAGTCAAATGCCACATTGCTGTATTTCTTAATACGACGCAGAGTGGCAACGGTAATAGCAACGGTATTAATTATTTTTTATGCTTTAACATGCATCTACCTAAAGAGACAAATGATAAGTAGATGTGATTGCGGAATTAAATAAAAACGTTTTAAGATTTAATGCATATATAATTAAAATTACAACTTATATAAAATTTTATTTTTAAATCTTATTCTTTTATGATGAATATAATTTGTAAAAGGTATTTTAGGTTTAAAAATTTCATGCTTAAATTATATGAATAATTTAGAAGAAATACTCAAAAAACGGAATTTTCTCATTATTTTGGAGCCCATGGATCAAATGGTTATGAAGCTGAATATTAGTAGTTCGGCTTGGGTTTAGATCCCTGCAAAAGGACTGAGTGCGTGGGTATTGTAACATGAAAAAAAGCCATTGTCAGAAAGTCCTACACGAAGGGGATTCCCTCCCCTTAAGCAGACAGCTCCAAAGTGTTGTGTCGTAATCCAATAAATCTATTTCTCCTCCTTTTGGAAGCAATAGTAAATTTCCTGAATACTCGAAATATTTTTCTTAGCAAATAGTTCATGAAAGCAAATAGTTCAAGACATTTTATAAATGAAGAATAAAATCACTATAAAGTTATAGAGACATTACGTATTTTTGAAGCAAGAGTATATGAAAAATGTGCAATTCCCATCCCCAGGACTCGAACCTGGACCTCTCGAATACGTGTCGAGTATGCTACCCTTATACCACGAAAACATGCAGAAAGCAGGGAGAAAATACAGTGGATGGACAAAAATATGGAAACACCTTGTGAAATGCATGTTTGAAAAGAAAGATTGATCTGAATGAAATATGTAGGTGGCGCTGGCGTTTTTGACTACTGACGTCACCTATACAACTTCGTAAATGTGCTAAACAGTTCAGTTGTTGCCGGAGTACTGTTATGTGAGGTTGTCATAGCATTATGTCAGAGTTAACAGACTTCGAACGTGAGCAAATTGTTGGAGCACGTATGGTAGGTGCTTCCGTAAGCAAGGTAGCCGAGGTGTTTAGTGTTTCAAGAGGTACTGTATCGAAGATTTATTCCGCATATTTGAAAAGCGGAAAAACATCATCTGCTAAATCACAGCGCGGACAAAAGTGTGTCCTGAGTGATCGTGACAGACGATCATTAAGGGCAATTGTGACGAAAAATAAGACCACAGCTGCAAAAGTTACTGCTGAAATGAATGTTGTGTTACCGAACCCTGTGAGTACCAAAACAATTAGAAGGGAGCTTCATAAACAGGGAATTGCTGGTCGTGCTGCAATTGAGAAGCCACTCATCAGTGATGCTACTGCCCGTAACAGGAAAAGGTGGTGTTTAAGTCATAAAGCCTGGACTCTAGAGCAGTGGAAGCGAGTAATATGATCTGACGAGTCTTCTTTCACATTGTTTCCCACTTCTGGCCGAGTTTACGTCTGGAGAACGCCATCTCAAGCCCATAATACAGACTGCTTGTTGCCAAGAGTGAAACATGGCGAGGGTTCTGTTATGGTTTGGGCAGCCATATCGTGGTTCTCTACTAGCCCCATGATAACTGTGTCAGGGCACATGACTGCCAAGACTTATGTGAACATTTTGGCCGATCAAGTTCCTCCCATGGTACAAACTTTGTTCCCCGATGGTGATGGTGTCTTCCAAGACGACAAAGCCCCTGTTTACACAGCTCACATTGTCTAGGACTGGTTTTCTGAGCACGAGGATGAGTTGTCCCATCTCCCCTGGCCACCACAGTCATCAGACCTGAATATTATCGAACCTTTGGGATCTACATTGGAACGGAAAGTGCGTTCTCGTTATTTACCGCCAACATCGTTATCTGAACTTGCCACCGTTTTGCAGGAAGAATGGTATAATATTCCCTTGGCAAACATACAGGAACTGTATTTATCCATTCCGAGAAAAGACTGAAAGCTGTTTTGGATGCCAACGGGTTTCCTATACGATATTAAGCAAAGAAACATGTTTTTTTAAAGGTTTTTCCATATTTTTGTCCAACCCCTGTACCTTCCCTTTTAAACGGCGACTGAATCCCCAGTCGCTAAAAAAAATCCTTGTGATGAAGAATCGTCATCCACCACCTTTTAGTTCGGGCGCCACTGTAGAGAAATTAGGTACTTTTGAAGCAAGAGTACATGAAAAATGTGCAATGCCCTCGCCAGGACTCGAAACGGGACCTCTCGAATACGCACCGAATGTGCTATCCTTACACTACGAAGCATGAAGAAGGAAGGGAGAAAATGACTTATAGAGTATGCGAGAGCATTATGCTGTGTATTTTTATTTTCTTTATCAAGCTTCGATAAAGCGGCATATTGAAACCAATTTAGTATGCCGCACATATGTAGTTAGTATGTAGAGACATTAGGTATTTTTTGGAAGCTGGTGAAGTGAAAATGAGCAACGCCTTTGCCGGGAATCGAACCACGAACCTCTGGAATACGCGCCCAGTGTGCTGACCACTACACCACGAAGGCACGCTAAGAAGGCGGGAGAAATACCTTCTAATTAAATAAAAATTATTTATTTATTCCAAGCAAATAGTATTTTAGCCAATGACTGTAGATAAATTGTTAAATGAAACCTGCCCTGTTATATAATTAGGAACCTAATTGCAACTTAATCTAAAAGACTGATATTAAATTGACAGTACTTTGCTTATTTCTCTTTTTATGTGAACATTTTTCATGCAAAAATGCAAAGTAAAATATAAACTTTATTTTAGCTGCGCAGAAGCCTAACGACAGAAGAATAAACCACCGTACACATAACCTAGCTAAAGTGATTTCACGAGTCAAATTCACTGATATAAGTCATATTCCTTTCACATATCAAATTTCATATCGACATTATTTTATTTAAATCTTTAGCTATACATTTCTTTGGGAATATTTAGGATTTAATTTATTTTGAATATCGAAACTGGCAGTTAAAAACATGCATGAATATCGTACATAATAGATAATTTGTCACGAACATCATACAAAGCAGGTATCATAATCTTATATTAAAAATTGCTTAAAATTTAGCTGATTTATGATGACTATGGCATTACGTTCACTGAAGTGGGCAGCGAAATTCGAGAGGCAGTTGCAGAATAAAAGAGGAAATTTCGAGGCAAAAGTATCTACCACTTACAGAGCAATAATACAAATAAATTGACATATCTATTCTTTCAGCTGGCAACGCGTAGTTTTAAATTAATGTGATATTCAAATTCACTTGGATATCATGTGTATTTTTTTAAACTGATACGTTAGACTATTAGGTATTTCTCCCGCCTTCCTAGCGTGCCTTCGTGGTGTAGTAGTTCTGCACTCTGGGCCGGTATTCCAGAGGTCCATGGTTCGATTCCCAGCGAAGGCGATTGCTAGTTTTTCATCTTGCGTGCTTCCAAAAAAAGTACCTAATGTCTCTACAGACGCAGCAGACAAACATAGATCCCCGGCCCAGGTCCGACTCTAATGTCTCTACAGTGGCGCCCGAACTAAAAAGGGAGTTGGATGATGGTTCTCCATACCCAGGATTTGACGATTGAGTCCCCTAAAAATCACAGTCGCCTTTAAAGGGGGGTATATAAGGTATTTCTTCCACCTTCTTAGCATGCCTTCCTTCGTGGTGTTGTGGTTCTGCACAATGGGCCGGTATTCCGGAGATCTGTGGTTCGATTCCCGGAGAAAGCGGTCGCTAATACTTCATCTCTCCGACCTTTAAAAAAAAAAATCCTAATGTCTACAATACTTTTTATAATATAATTTTTTTACATATAATTTTTATATATAAATAACTTTTTTTCCCAATTCCAGTTGCAGTATCAACTCCATTACTGAGGCCAAGATTCTCTGTAAAGTGTATAGTTTTTCACATACTGCAATGCACTCATATAGATTTTTTTTTATTGTTGTGCCTAGTGCTATAGATCCTATTTTAAAATTTAAAATGAACAATTCGTTATCAGTACTGCTTTAATGTACTAACAAATGTTCGCTTTTTTTTATGTACGTGCAATGTTTATGTACGTGCAATGTTTTCAAAGTTCTGTGAATTCAGGTGTAGTTCAATTCTTAGAATTTAAAGGCAAAGCTATCGACCAGAGGCAATTCTTGACATGATTATGCAGATATCCCGTGCAATATTTCTTAGCACGGATCAGTTGTTTAACTGATGCCAGTGCATTTCTGTAGTTCTGCGTGTGCAACCATGGATGATGCGAAGAGCAATCATTTTCTTTTTGCGGATACAGAGCTTAAAACCTTCAGAAATTGTTCAACTTCTGTAAGGAGTAGTCAGTTTCAATATCTGGGAAAACTTTTACGGGATGCTTCGACTTAAGAGTTTAGCAGTACCTGAGGAGATACTTAAAATGTTCTTTGAGGATGGCTGAAAAAGTTAGTTTTCCGTTAATATGTGTTTAATTAAATGGGGATTTGTTTTATTCTAATAATTAATAAAGTTTCCGGAACTTTGGAAATATCTTACATGGTTTACGACCCACATCTTCGAACATAGGAAGGCAGCATTAAATCATTTAATTACAAAAAGTAATTTAAAAATTACCCTGGAAATTGGAAAATAATAGGGGAAAATATCTGAAATTTGCTTATTTATTTATTATTTGAAGAATACCTGATATTCGGGAAGTTTCAGAAAATTCAATAAAATTCGTGAATGAGTTGAGGAAACCTAC